CCAAGCCTCAAACCACAACAGGGGGTTTAAGCATGATGGAGTTATTTCTTCTGCCTTTCCAGCCCAAGCAGCAGAATGGCAGAGAACCGACAGCATAACTGGTGATAAAAGTATGTGGGATCCCTATAATTTTTTCCATGTATGCTGCCTGACCAAGTTTTTGTAAAACAAAAAAATTACTTTTAGAGTAAGCCCTGGCTTTTTAAAGGTGAATAAAAGGACTGCTTCATACGATGCAGTTATTTTCATAATGAAAAACTGTTTTTAAGGTAGAATGACACTCATCATCTATTCTGTTGACTTACGTGCACAAATTGAAAACACAACAAAACCTGAGGGATCACGTGCTCTGGCATGTTTAACAAGAGCTGAAATCTTTGTATATCTTTGTTAGACCTATAGTACACTGAAGGGGTTGTGTAGGTCTTCCTGCTCTTACATGCCTTGCTAGGATATACATTTCTGTGTGGTCACACAGATAGCCTTCTGATAGCCTCTCTCCTATGGCTGTTTTGCAAGGCCAGTCTTTTTCAGCTCTTCTTAAAGGAACACAGAATAATATGTTTTCCCTGAGTTCTTCTGCTCTAACTTGTTTCTACCTGGCCACTGTCTTCGTTTTAGATTCTTACTCTTTTTAATACTAAATACACTTGTAGGACACGAGTTTTTTTGATCTTGAGTATATTAGGATTGCCATATAAAGTGCTTGCTAAAGTTATTTTGGAATGACTGTCTGCTCCAAAAAGTCTTACATAGTGACAAAAAACTCATTTTCCAAATTGCAAGCATAGTTGATGTTTACATGGGAATAAATAAAATCTCTAAAAATTATTACTGTATTTTCTGTCATCATAGCCTTTATGATCTCTTTGAAATTGTCACAGTGTTACAGTCCTGGCTGTTTGTACTGTAGCTCTAATATGACATTTACCCTGTCTATTAATGGGACTTCAGACTGAGAGGAATCTGTATTAGCCATGGATATAACTGACTGACATATAAGTCTTTAGTGAATAAACATAGAACACTACCTTGAAAGTATCTCATCTTTGGAAATTATTTGTACTTTGATGGTAAAGTGTTGCCCAATTATTTTTTCCACACAGCTTCTGCTGTGCCAATTATGTCAAAAATCTTCATTTAAAACTTATTGTAAAACTCACCATGAATTCAGTTTGAAGTAAATGAGAACATGCAACTGCATCTCGAAGCTGCTGCCGTGTCAGGACTCGGCCAGCTGACTGTAGATATTCCATCGCTACTTTTTCTCGTGGGGTTGGCACAGCGACGAAAGGTTCAACACTTCCCAGACTGCTCATATCCAAAGTCAGTGAGACATTGGATCCTCGTCTGTGTTAGAAAATAATTAAAACAGTTACATCAGATCTGTGTTACTCTAAGTCCCACACGCATGCAGCTGATCCTGAGTTATTTATGCACCTTGGCTTTCTGTATAGTCACTGGGAGATTTGGGCATGCAAAGACTGCAAAACTGGTTTCACTGGAGGAACCTGGTGGCCACAAAATCAAGATTTTACATATCATCCTACCTCTTGAATCTAACAACTGGTGCTGCAAGAATAGTGTGCTAGGGTGCAACTATTTGGATTGTTCTTTGAGGTAGACACTGCTCCCTATATGCTACTTAATCATTACGGATATCAAATATGTAAGTGATATCTTAGTAAGGAAGAAATGTTTCACAAGAAAAAAGAAGTAGGATATATTTCTAATATATATAACAACTTGGAAATAAACTCACAGTTACATCAGCTATATGTTTAAGAATCTACTCAAGTTAAATCTACAGAATGGAGGGGAAAAAAGGGATAAAATCAGCAGAAATAAGTGAAAACGCAGTGCAAACATTGTGGCTACCAAGACAGTGGACAATGTCTCCTGTTAGGTAGGAAAACAGGGAGAAGCAATAAATGACAATAAATGAGGTGCATGCCAGAAGGAAGAATATTCACAAGCTTAGAAAGGTTATTCAGAAGTGTCAAACATCTCTTGCAGGACAATCAAATTCATCAACATTTCACATTTCTATTGGAAAATAGAGTTGGATTCAGCAACACCTTTGAGCTGTGAAAATACAAGTTAAGCACACCTCTGTGTGCTTGGTATAAGTGCTACTTTTTTTTTATTGCTTTCAACAAACAACACTTAAGAATACTGTCTTTTTTCACAGTTTCAACCCATGGTTCAGATGTTACCTGCTCAACACTTAACTTTAGGCATATGGATTGCAATAATTTCATGCTTTTGACTTGTGATTGCTAATCACACATTTGTAAGATTAATCAAAATTTTTGTGGTTACTACTGAGAAATCAGTACTATGAGACTGTAAGTTTCAGCTGTCTGAACAGGGCTACAGTTGTCCAGCTCAGTGTAAAAGCTTCTAACATTTACCAACCAGCTATGCACATGCAGATATATGACAATGCAATTTTCATTCCTACCTCTGCACATTATCCTCTCTCCATTAATGTAACGTTAATTAATGTAATATTGGGGGAATGCTTTCCTCTGGTCTTCAGCAAAAGTTGCTTGTGTTAATACTTGCTTTTTACTGTCTTTTCATTATTTAGCAGTGGCCCAAAGGTATCTGTGTGCTTGCATATTTGAACAAATTACTCTTTTTTTTTCAGATGCTAAAACTGGTGTTGCTTTTCTGTTTTCTGATCTTCTTCTGCCACCAGAGTAGGTGTTCTCAGGGTTTGCTGCTTTCTTCTTCATTTGTAACCATATGAACATGACATATTTTTTTGTTCTGACACAACTTTGATGCACTTCCCTTCCTTTTATACATGTCAGCAGATCCTTCAGTAATTTCATTTTAAATTAAACCACTTCTACCGTGTCAGTCTGCATGAACTGAAATTACTTCAGTCACTCACCTTTCACTTAGCAAAACACAAAGCAACAGAGGCCCAGAGACAAGACCACCTGGTGGAATGGATGAATGCCACATCATGCCACAGTGACTATAAGCTTCCTTCAGCTTAGGTGACGGGTGGGTGATAGCAAGAGCTTTGCTGCCCAGGCCCGCAGATGGTGACAGTGAGTCAGCGACAGAAGCAGAGGTGGGAGAGGACAGATGGAGCTGAGGCTGCCACAGGCAGTTGGCTGCCTCCAGGGGTAGATGGGGACAATTCCTGTTGGCAGAGGGAAGTAGGTGGGGTATGATTCTACTAATTTTCCTAGGAGGCAGGCAGAAGTGAAGTACCATCCTGAGCAGAAACGACTAGTAACTGACAGATGCAGAGGCCACCAGTGGCGCTCCATGGCTCACTACACATCACCTTACATCGTACAGAGGGCCCAGTCAGTGGTACTAGTGCTCACATCCAGATCCAGAGCCAGGACAGCCTGGGACACGGGGCATGCTGCAAGCCAACTCTGGTGGCTGCTCTTTGCTGGACCCTGCAGGGAAGTCCTGGCTCACGTACCCATCCCAGCTGCCTGGGGACTGCCCCCACTTTCAGGTGAAGCCAGCCCCCCCTGCTCCACACTGCTTCTCAAGGAAAACATCCTGTTGGGCTCCTGTCTCACAAAACCCATCCTGCAAAAGCACCTCTTCTGACTACGACTAGCAATTTATTCCGGGGAAAAAGGTGGTCGCTCAAACAGGTGGCTCTGAGGGTGGATATCGCAAATCCAATCTCTCGAAAAACATCCAGAAATCCACAGAAGACGTGTGCTATGAACCTCTCCAAAACTGTTTAGGCTACCTTTGGTTGAGAAATAGGTAGCAATTTAGACCCAGACATACTTCTGGGAGACCCTACTGAGATTTCCTAATATAGAGGAAAAGTATTCGCATTGTTCAGTAACAAAGTACTGAGAAAATGTTAATATTTTCTTTGGCTTTTACATTGTTATAACTGACAGTCTTGGCAAGAAGGCTATTTCCTTTTTAACAACAACAAAAAATATACCTGATCTAATTATAACTTTGAGTTTACAGCTTTTACCTTTTATGGGGATTACTGCTGAATACTGGTGTTGGGAATCAAATAGCTTACTCTGGAAAGAAGAAATAGTTTGTAGCTGGATATTTAACACATTAAAAGCTACACATTGAATAAAAACTGAATACAGGGCAGAAAATAATTACCTAAAGGACAGTGATCTTTTTAGAATGTCCATAAGAGGATATACAATAGATAACAGCTTTAAAGGTAACTCTTTCATAAAAACAGGTATCTCTAGGAGCACTTTTGAAGAAGTTTGCTTCACTTAATAAAAAATACTTCAATAATGTTTACATAAGCAATACTAACTATTGCAAATATTAACATTAATCACACAGACTGCTTTATTGAATTCAAGACTGTGCTGAGGAAGAAGCCTGAAACCTGGACATACTGCCTTGTCTTGAAAGATGATGGAGGGCCCGAATCCATCATGTGCTTTTACGTCCCAATAGAAGATGCTTATAGTCTCAGGTCCTGCTCTGGACAACTTGGATCCTCTATGTTCCTCCAGCAGTTAAACTCTCCACTTTCTGTAGAAAAGAGTAGAAAGTAGAATTCTCTTCTCTTGTATCACTTGGGTGAAGGGAGGTTAGCTAGCAAGCCCACCTTTTCCCACCATATTGGAGGGACTGCACAAAGCTGGCCACAGAGCAACAAGGAGGAAGCACCTAAAACAAAGCCCATTTTGGTAACTATCCTTTGTCTCCAGTAGGTTTTGAATAAGAAATTACAAACGGATCAGTGACACTTCAAGTCAGACTAATAATATTTCTTGGAGATATATATATATATATATCTCCTGACTACATACAGGTATCTTTCCATTTCAAATTAGAATGAAGGAGCCACGGGTTCTCCCTTATTTTTGAACATTTACAATAATTTTTTTTCTTCTGAATAATTTTGCCTTCTTTATGTTCCCCATGTTAATAGTCTGGGCCAAACTGGAGAAGTTTTTGTTATGATACACCTTCTCCAGCATCCCCTTGAGGTTTTATCTTGATGGGGATGTGCATCATGTGAGGAATCTGAGGAACTGTAAACATTTTTGACAACACTACGTTAAAATTAGTGTGAGACTAACTTCTGAGGTTTCACTAGCTAGGAGAGCCACCTCATCACTGGGTACGTGAATAAATGCAACTAGGAAACCACTTGTGTCTGTGTGTTGTCTAGTATCCCAGAGGGGGGATCTTACTACATACTCACAGCCTTCTTTTCAGTTGGGTAATAGGAACAAGCCCACTGATGAGAATCCACTGGAGTGTTTTTAATAATAAATTTATAGATGCAGTTTTTATTACAGACCATAACAAAAAAAAAAAAAAAACAAAACCAAACCAAAACCAAACAAAACCCCAACAGATTCATACAATGTTTGGTTGAAAACACTCAAAAGGAAGCTCCACCTGCCCACCTTGGAGGGACACCAGGTTACTAAAGCCTATTAATCATTAGTGAGGCCACTTCCAGGTCTTCCCTGATCCTAAAATTAAGCCATAGCTGATGATTATGAAAATCTAATTACCTGACATGTTTTCCCAGTTGTTTATTTAAGCTGGGTAATTTCTTTAAATATACATTCCTATGTTTATTCAGCACTCCTAAAAAATGCAACGCCCAGATTACCGGTCCTCGGCTTTTCATTCTCTTTAGTGGTTTTGGAAGCGGTGGTGGCGGCTGCTGCATCCAAGAGCTATTGCCCTCTGACCCTGGCATCACAGACACGGGAGGTGCTTCCTCCTGAGCCCTTGGACCTCCATCCCTCCACTGGGCTTCTGCACAGCCAAGGCAGGAGCTGTGTCAGCCGCGCGGGTGGAAGGAAGCCATTAATTAGTGGGAAGAGAGGTGCTGGCTCTGGCTGCTGGGGAAGGATCTTGATTTGGGTCCTCAGATCTCATTTGTAACAGGGGATGCTACACAGGGCCGCTCCCCCTGGGTTTTGCTGCAGGGATAATGGGAAAATTCCCCTGTGCATTTTAGTTCTCTAGTGTTAGACTCTCTTAGTTCTAGACATGGATCCTGGTTCTTTTCCGTTGCTGGTCCATCTCACCAGTAAATGCACTGGATTCAGCTGGGTTTTGCACTGCTGCAATTGCAGGGTGCATGCACAATTAGGCATGTGGTTTCCACCACTTACTACTGTGCCAGTGCCAGACTTCACCTGCTTATCTAGTTTTGTTTCAGCAGAGTAACTCAAAGGAGGAAAAATATTGATTTGTAAAAAAGGGCAACAGAAAAACTATAGGTCTCAGCTTCCCTGCTGCTTTCAGCAAAACAGCTAAGAGAAAACATGACCATGTAGATGTACAAATCTGATGCCTAAAGCTGTGGTGGGGTGTGAAAAGCACAATAAATCAGAAATGGA